CAAATGCAGTTTGCAATCATGCAGTTAAAGATGATTTGGAGCTCTTGTGTGACAAACCTACTTCCTTCCCCAAGCCGGGCTTTTTGCAGTAAGAAAAGTGATGGGGAAATGCACAGGAATGTGTGGGACAGCATGTGCTTGTTGTAGCATTGATTAACTTCCCTGGAAATGAATCAGGATGCATGCTCAGTAAATAGCTAAAGATGTCTAACCCCTCCACCAATTTTGTGCAAACAAGTCAGGATGAATCTTCAATAAATGGGTCACCTGGAAGCAGCCTCAGTGTGTCTGCCAGTAGATTCACAAATCCATCAGTAGATAACAACTCCCGAAGTGTCTGTTCCTTGCAACAATGTGGTACAAATACCTCCCTTTCTTTTAACATAAATGGTGGACATCATTTGAGTTCTGTCAAGGCATCATCCGAAAGGTTCTATCCATAATAATCACCTAAGGAGTTCACTGCAATAAAATGATCACAGGCAAAATATTAGCTTTCTCTGCAGGAGTATGAGCAGATCAATAGCAGGCAAGGAATGGGAAGTATGGGGTCAGAGTCTAGACACCAGCCAAGGCTGCAAAGCAGAATGGAGGGAAGAAAGCAAGTTGATAAAATATGGCAGGAGGGCAAAACATGAAGCAGCACATTTCTGTCTGCTTAGAGGAGGGGTAGACAGACTTTAGACTTGTGATAATTTTTTTCCTGGAACCACAAGGTCTACCCATTGGAACCAGATGCAAAACAGTGACTTGGGAGACAGCGTCAAGAACTCACTGCACCCCATGTGCTGGGATAACCTGCGCACACAGACAAATTGAGTTACTACAGATTAGAGATTGTACTACAGCAATGCTTTCAGTGGCAGAACTGAGTTCACAAAGAAACAACTCCTGATTCCTGCCTCTCTTCCACTTTCTTTGTTTCAACAGTTTAATATAGAATCTTGTCGTTGTTAAAGGGGAGTCAGAAATCTTTGCAGATGTACTGCAACTCATCCAGAAGTCTATTAGTAGACTTATACTAATACCTACCTATCCTCAGGTAGAAGACCAGTCAGCAGAAAAATAGTTTGGAAAGCGAGAGCCAATGACACTAATACAGGCAAACAGAAATGAAGATCTACCTTGCTTCTTCAAATGATGAGCCTAGTCCTGGTCCATTCTTTGTCTTTGGTTCAAGACTGGCAGAGTATATAGAACATTTGACTTCAATTCATTTTAGAGCTGATAATTATCCAAAAGTGTACAGTGGATGCTCGGGTTGCGAATGTGATCCATGTGGGAAGCACGTTCGCAACCTGCAGCGTTCGCAACTTGCAGCGCTGCGTCTGTGCATGCGTGGGTTGCGATTCGGTGCTTCTGCGCATGCACAAGTGCCGAAACCCAGAAGTAACCCGTTCTGGTACTTCCGGGTTCTGCACGCAACCCGAAATCGCGCAACCCAAAGCGTCTGTAACCCAAGGTATGACTGTATTGTGATAGTGACATGTGTCATATCACATAAATCATGCCAAATCAGCTATAACAAATATATGTAACATGGAAACATAGTTAAATATCTATCAATTTACCCAGATTTAGACATCTCCTCTAAGGATTCAGTTTTGCATCCTTCATCTGATGAAAGCCGCCATCCAGCCATTTATCTCCAACACTTCAGTTGCCATACTGCTTCAGTCTTGAAAATGCACTCGTGTAAGATTTTAGCAAATCAATACTTCTGTATCAATAAAGCTAATTCCATTAGCTTGATATTAGATAGCAATCAGTATATTATCAGTATGGCAAAATATTTTCATTATCTCCTGACATGATACTGAAATGAAAACTATTTTCATAGTGTCAGTCAAAATGTTTCAAGCTGTTGGAAGTCACAGAACAGGGAGACTGCCACACATATAATGACATTTAAAACAATATTAAATGCAAGGGTTCTTTTATTTGCTTTGTTGGTTCTGTTCCGGCCCCTTATGATATGCTGCAAGCACCAGTTAAAGCATTCATTCTTTTTGAGTTATTCAGCATTCTTTGGGTCCATTGAATATACTCTAACGATGTAGAGTCAGATTAAGTGGAACATTTTATTTATTTAAACAGAATGGCCATCTAATACAACAGATGCAAGTGTAAAAGTACAAACCTTCCAAGTGCCCCTGTTTTCCAGGTACTATCCTGGTTTCTGATTTCATCCCAGAATGTCCCACTTTCCATTAGGACATTCCTATTTTCATCAGAGAAATGTTGGAGGGTATGATAATAGTGTTTCATCTGTTTTCCTTTTTCTCCATTCTGGACTTGCTCATCAAGTTTGTTTATTTACTTATTAGACCTGTATTCTTCCCTCCCTCCAAGGAACTGAAGGAGCTAACCCTGTTTTTATTCCAGTGATATAGTACCTGGTGAGGTAGGTAAGGCAGAGAGAAAGGGATTGCCCCAAGAGCACCAAGTGAGCTTCGTCTGCTTAGGCTGAGAGGGCTTTTGTGTGCAGGCCTCCCTAACCATAGCTTCATAGTCTGATTGCTATACCACACTGGCTCCCATGACCTGCTCCTTAAATCTCCCTCTTTCAAGAATGTTGTGTGTGGATGGGAAACCCACATTCAAATTCTCTCTCAAGACACAGTAAGTCACTCTCAACAGGGTTGTCATGAGACTAGAACACCGCCCTGAACTTCCTGTTTAACGGGAAGGGACCTATAGCTCCATGGCTGAGCATATGGTTGGCATGTAGAAGGTCCTAGGTTGAATTCCTTGCATGTTCAGGTAGGGTTGGGAAAAACATCAGCCTAAAAGCCCATAAGAGATGCTGTCAGTCATTGTAGACAATACTGAACTAAATAGACCAAAAGTCTGATTCTGCATAAGGCAGCTTCCAATGAAGGAATGGGAGGGACACAATAATATGCGTGGATGAAATTCCAATCTGATGTGTAGTGCACTGATTGTCATCAAGACTACACTATTGTATTACAGGAGAATGCTTCAATTTCAGAGGAATTTTATACATATATATAGCCGCCTATCAATAAAATTTTCTAGGCAGCTTACAAAGCAGAAAGCAGGAAACATTGCATTAGCACTTAATCCTTCTCCTTAAGCCCCTGCACTTGGCTCCTTGTCGTTTTTTTCTCCACAGACTTGGAACTCGAGCTGAGAGGGGGGATTTGGGGTGGAAAATTGGTGCGAAGGGAAAAGGTTAAGAAGCCTCATGACTTCTTCCCTGTAAAGTTGAAGCCTCAACAGCTGTGGAATGTAAAAGACAAAATAAGTTTGCAAAAAGAACCACAAAACTACATGTAACGTGTACTTCCGTCCATCTGCTGGTGGTGTGGTACTCTTCCTATGGTCAAATGAAGCTCTTCCTACATTTGAGCAGTTGTTAAACACAATGGTTGCCACATGGGCCTGTGGGCCTGCAGAAAAGTCATATAAACCAGTCATATATTCTTACAGAGACAGGGACCTTGTGGATCTCCAGATGTTGCTGGACTACAGTTCCAGTCATCAGTTCCATTGACCAAACTGATGGAGGTGATGGGAGTTGGTGTCCAACAACATCTGGAGGACTGCAGATTCTACACCCCTGCTTAAAAATATTGACAAAGGGAGGCAACAGTGCCAGAACTTACAATCTCCACTATTCTTATGATATTTATTTTTTTAATGGTTTTTTAAAAAAGCATTGCAGGTCAATTTGTGTGTGTGTTTACCATTGCAGGTCAAAGAGCACCCCCAGGAAGCTCATATATGTAATACACTACCAGGATATTGTTGTCTCTCCTAAAGTTAGTCGAACAGATTGAATGACTGGAGACATTTTCCTGGCACAGACGTATAGTTATAGTGCAATATTGTGTGATGGTTAGAGTGTTATGCTAGGACCAAGGAGACTGTTTCAAAATCCCACATAGCCATGCAGCTCACTGGGTGACCCTGGCTCAGTCATTATTTCTCAACTGAACCTGAACAGGATTCAGGAACCTGAACCTGAACTTCACAGGATTATTGTGAGGCTAAAACAGATAGCGGTGGGCGGTGAAATAATACTGTATACTTCTTCAAGTTCCTTGGAGAGTAGGTGAGATATACAAATAACCAGTGCTATTTTTCTATAAAAAGAGGTGCCGGAATTCACCATGAACACTTCCCTCCCTCTCTTAGAATAGCAATGGCACCCACTCAAGAGGTGCTGGAACTGAGTTCTGGTGAGTTCTGGATGAAGAAAAGCCCTGCAAATAACAAATGAAATAGAATGATAGGAAAAGCTGCAGCCTTTCCCCCTCTCCTTATACAGCTGGCTAAAGCACAAAGCCTTTGTCCTACAAGGTGACAAGACAATCCTTCAATAATGGAAATCATAGTTATCATCATCTCTTGGGAAAAATTCTGAGGTTTTGGAAATACTGGAATTCTGGTGGACCCTAACCTTAGACTTCAAATTGCAGTGCAATAAAATACAATATAAGAAATAAAAGAAACAATTAAAACTGGACCCTCACCTTAGAATTCAAATTGCAATGCAATAAAATACAATATAAGAAATAAAAGAAACAATTAAATTTGCGATTTAAAAAACAACGTGAATCTTTAATGTGGACACACCGTGGCCCACCTGAAGGAAGGTCTTGGATCATTTGTGGTCTGCAGATCCAAGTTTGGGAACATTTGCTTTAGACTGCCTTACTTACAACTCTGGTGAAATAAGTCTGATTATAGTCTATGTGTATGTTATAAGTTCAGTTGAAGGGCTATTCTTTATTAAAGGAGGTGTTGAACTGCGCCAGAGTAATAGCAGAAAGTGGCAGTAATTAGTTTTATGTGGAATTAGCAGGAAAGGGGAAACTATTGCTGTGTGTGGATAATTCTGATTTTGTCTCAGTGTTCAAGATTTACAGCTGAGCATAAAATAAGCCTGACAGTAATTTTATTAAGTTGAACCCCATAAAGGATTTTTAAAATACATGGTTATTGCTAGTCCTGAAAACTGTCAGCCTATAACTTTGAAATGGTCTCTCTCTCTCTCTCTCTCTCTCTCTCTCTCTCTGTGTGTGTGTGTGTGTGAGAGAGAGAGAGAGAGAGAGAGAGAATGTTGAGGCTCAATGATAAGTTAATTTGAATAGAAATGCTTTATAAATATATCAATATTCTGTGTTGTTTGATCTGTAATTTGCACACTCTATCCAACATCCATTTTTATAAACTGAAATGCTCACACTGGTCTCCCTTTAAGGTGAGATGGCTAATTTGTGGCCATCCATATGTTATTGGACCATAGCTCCAATAATCCTTGACCCTTATCCATGCTGACTGGGGTTGATGAAGTCTCACAAGGGCTGGAGGGCCACAGGTAAGTGAAATTTTTAATTTTAAAAATTCCCCATGAAAACTCATCAGCATGTTAGTGCAGCTTTATCCTATACATATGTTTGCATGCAGTATTGCCTAAAAAACACATTTTTACAAAGCAATGTCCCCTAAAATAATGCATGATATATGATTCTTTTGGGGATGATGTTTACCCCAGTATATGCATTTTTGTACATATGACTTGGCTGGGAATTGCTTTGCAAAACTTGGAGAAGTATGACATTTGGAACATGGATATGGTTTGGTTTTTGTGTTGTTTCAGAAATTAGGTTCCCCTCAAAATGAGATCTGTATTGAGTTTCTCCCCCTTCCTTAGCTACAGATTAGCACCCTCGTTTTAAACTTGGGTTGGTTTTATAGCATTGCAACCATCATGGTTTCTTCTAATGAATCCAGAGTATTGTAATTTGGGCATGCTGAAGATTGTCTGTTAGGTATCTCTTGCCTCTCTGAGAACCACAGTTCCCTGGACTACTTTGCACAGGAATAATGACTACTTGATAAATATGACTGGAATATATATGCCCCGAGTCATAAGACACTCTGTGTGGAGGAACTGATTGACACCTTACTGACCAGTGAGTTTTGGATCATTTTGTCCATAGATCCTTGGCATGGGATTCGCCACCAAGGAAAGGATGACAAGCCAGAGAGTTGCTAATGGATTTTTTTTTTTAAGGGAAGTTATTATATGATATATATTAAAATTCACTGAAAATCTATCTTTAAAAAAGACTGGATTTTTGGCTGGCATAATGCATTTCTTTGAGTCTCTGATATAGGCCAGTCGCCTCTTTATACAGGAAAACACAACTTACAATTGCGGCTTCCAGTTAGGAATCATTTCCAGAGAGAGGATAGAGAAAGTGAGCTCATTCTTTTTGTGGCACATCAGGGGGTTGATATATCTTTGAAGAAGCAGAAACCCTGTTGACTTTTGCCAAAAATAAGAGAAACTTTCACTGAGTGTTCAGTATTTTATAGAAAGCATGCCAGCATCCCATCAGGACTGTACAGTCGTTAGCCTAGTTGTAGAAAATGAGTGCATTGTAATAAAACTCAAAGGCTTTGAACTTCCTTCTATTGTCACTGGAGGTCTTTTCCTACCCATTTAGCAAAAGGAGAATGACTGTTACAATCAGATAATGCAAATCAAAGGAAACTTATCATGCAATTGCTCACTGGATAACTCTGCTAATATGATTTCCTCTCTTTAGCTATGTAACCAGAATCTACGATGACCTTTCCAGGGGAACGGAAAACCTACAATGTGTACTCTTACTAATGTATTCTAATGTGATTAGTTCACACGGAAAGCCTTGTTAAATGTGCAGTATCTGCTTTCACCTTTACAATAATTGCGGGTGATTCCAAACAAAAAGCCTGTCATTTTGCAGTTCTTTTCATACAGTAAACAACATGAAAATGAAGGATATAGATATAGATGATATAGATAGATATAGATATAGATATAGATATAGATAGAGGGTATAATTATAAAGGCAGAGTTAGGTGTCCTCTGCATATGTTTTTGCCCACCCTGCAAACTTTGAATTCAGAATGGATGCTCCATGTTTACTGGTGTTTGATTTACATAAAAATGTAACCAGTTTTGAAGCTTTAAGTTTAAGATTATCCAGAGTTGGGGTTTTTTGGTAGACTGAAATGAAGAGAGCAAAGGCAGACCTCCATGGACACTGGGTCTAGGTGGTCAGGAAATTGGGAGGGTGGGAAACAGTTATCACAGTCACTGATGCACTATCCTGCTTTTGGCATCCCACAAAATAGCTGTGACTAATTAGTTTTATAGGCATGGCAGACTCCCAGTTTTATGCTTCTCTTTCTCCCTTCTGTCTGAGAATTGCTAGGATAAAGTGAAAAATGATTGTGGGCCTAGAAGTACTTCAGCTGCAATTGCAAGTCCTCGCTGCTCAAACAGGCTGGTGTGTGTATGTGTATGAAGTCCTGCTGGTAGCTTCAGCACTATGTTGTATGAGGTTTATTGACTTTTAGGATGAAGGCCTTGAACTATGGAGACTCTGTTGTGATGCCATTCTAATTGGCCTACTGCTATCATTAAGCATAAAAGCCAGAGATTATAAACTTTTCCTCTACATCCTGAACAGATATTCAATTATTCTGTTTTGGAATCATTAGTTACACTTCTGAGCATACCCATCGGTGTTCGTCAGTCTTCACTCTCCATATGTTTTTGGACTACACCTCCCACACTTCCCACACTGCTTAGCCAATGGTTAGGAGCTACAGGAGTAATAGCCCAGCAATACATGGTGACATCTAAAGCAAAATCAGAGTGAAGGTGCGACGTTAACATATGAGAGTGCTGGAGGTGAAATAGTTAAACAGGTTACCCAGTCAGGACCCAGGGGGGTGGAGTCAGAGGGACTATAAAACCAGCTCTGGGAGGGGCAAAGGGAGGAGTTCATTGAGTTGGGTGGGAGTTGGGTAGTTGGTTGGAGTGGGAGTGAACTGGGATAGAGTTTGTGGGTAGGTTGAGTTAGTGTAGCGAAATAAGCTGAGTCAGGAATAGTTAGGGGCTAGGAAGACAAGTAAATATCTGAGAGGCGGTTTAGTGAGTGAGAGCAGGTAGTGGAAGTTATAGGTCTGGATAGGCACCCCATGATTGTAACTGACCGATATCGTTTAAGAAACCACACACTTGTTAAACTGCCATAAATAAACAAAAGTTTATGTTCCAGTTCAACCCTGACTGGACTCAGTATTGTACCATGTAGGGCCTGGGTGGTGGCAGCGAGAAATAAAGTGGTGGCACAGGAATCAATAGACAGCGACCCTGTGTGATTGCCACAGAAGGTATTGCTTTCTGCCCTCACTCTGCCTTCTTGATATTATTTTAATTGAATATTTTGATTGATTTTAATTGTATTTAAAAGATTGCTTTGTTTTTAAAATTGTTGTAAGCCACCTTGGGAGGGTTTCTTGCCCTAAAAGGCAGCACATACATTTATAAAATCAATAAATAAGTTGTGGTTTCGTAAAAACAGACAGACAGACAGACAAACAAACAAACAAACAAACAAACAATAGTAGCAGCAGAAAAGAGTGACAATTGGGGACAGCATTCTGCCACTCTTTAATGTTTGTGATCTTATGTGGGCTGAGCATGCTGTTCATTTATGGGTCACACCTATCCAAGACCTGATTTAACTCAGAGTATATATCACATTGTCATGTATCAGACAATGAAACAATGTGCACACAATGGGGAGTGTACTATAAAATCATATGCGACTGCTTGCATCAGTTATGTTTAGGTTGTTTTAGGAAGAGTTCAGCCCTGAGACAGTATACTGGGGTTCAGCCGCAAGACTTTAATGGCTGGGTTCAGCCATGGAAAATGTAAAATAATTACTCAAACCAGCAAGACCCTGAGTAGGGTCAGTCAATCACCACTGAGTAACCATACTCTGTAGACCCAGAAAGCTTGGCTTATAGGACAGATGATGTGATGCCTTAGCCCCAACCCCTTTTCTCTTTTAAAATAAATTAAACACTACTTGTAATTTTTTTTTAGTGAAACAGAATTGCTTTATTTCTTCTGAAAGTGAGTGCCTTCATAAACATTCCAACTAGAATTACAAGAGTGAATAAACTTCTTGGTCTGAATTGCTACTATTATGCTAGTGTAATCTTCTTCTGTGAAAGTCACTTTTCCCACAGTAATTCTGCTCTAAGTAGTGCAGAATCACTATGAATAGCTATCTGAAAATCACTGAAATGACTCTAGACGCCTATTGTACACCCAAGGTTGTTTCTACCCTTGATACCAACCTTAAGTAATTTATTTTCTAACTGACCTGTTTGGACTGTATCACTTCTAGCTGGCCTGATTTTTTATCAGTGACCTATCAGGACAATTCTCATTTGAGTACTAATTTGGCAAAAGATGTACATACAATCTCTACTGTTGCCTGATAACCATAGCTGTCAACGTTTCCCTTTTTTTAAGGGAAATTCCCTTATTCTGAATAGGATTCCTCGCAAGAAAAGGAAAAAGTTGACAGCTATGCTGATAACCCAATGAGCAGGACATTTGCTGGAAAGAAAATACCATTGATGTAAGAAGTCTTTACCTAGGAGCAGTGGTGGAGCTTCATGCTCTGGAACTGGGGGGCAGAGAGCTGGCAGGGGCGGGGCTGCCATCCACCCAGGGGGTGGGGTGTGGCGTGGCGCCCTCAGGGGCGTGGCATGCATCCTGGGGCATGGCGCCCAGCCGGAGGGGGGCGTGTAGCTGCGATGGCACCCTACCGGGATTGCGCTGCCGGAGGTGATGCGCCCCCCCGCACTCCTCTTCCTCTGCCAGTGCCTAGGAGTAAATGTTCTTGGAGATAGGGCCAATATTTACTTATGTACATATTACCGTATTTTTCGCTCTATAACACGCACCCGACCATAACACGCACGTAGTTTTTAGAGGAGGAAAATCCGTAGGCATGCCACCCATAGGCATTCCCTCCATAACACGCACAGACATTTCCCTTTACTTTCTAGGAGGAAAAAAGTGAGTGTTATGGTGCAAAAAATACGGTATGTGCAATACGTATTCGGTTGTTCATGACAGCTGGGTTATAGGCAGTTAATTTCTTGTGATTCAGTCTTGATCCCATTTGTTTGACTTCTACGCTGTCCAAATTTCAAGTGCTGCATGATTTTGTTCAGTCATCAGAAATACAAGTAGGCTCTGAAACAGGAGGCTTT